TGGACATAGGCTGTATATTATTCCGTTAAACATTCATATAAATTAAAATATATAATCTAGGTTAAGGCTTTTATGTCCAACAGATGGCGCTACGAGTACGACGCCCTAAGTTTGCTTTTCTGTGAGGCATTATGCTTTTCTGTGAAAATGAACTAAAGCAGATCATCTTCTATCTATATAAATAAAAATGTAATGTTCGTTTGTTCCTACCGATTCCTTTGAAATTTTGACACAACGCTGCATTCGAATACGCACGTATTTTTATATAATATACGTGTCGAAATTCCCCCCACTGAAGGGAGATGGTTAGGATTAAGGCTTACGGTAAAGAACTCTGCTTCTATTTATACTATTTTAGATGCGGGTTTTTGCGTTTTGATTGCGTTTTAATAGGGTACGTCAAGAGAATGTACACTAAGAAGAAATTTTTCGAAAAATTTCCCCTTCATGGGGGAAGTGTTATACATTTATAATAGATACATTTTGAGCCAGAACAACGCGTGGTGGGGTCTGCTAGTATAATTATAATAAAGTTACAATAAGTTAAGTTAATATATAATTATATATACAGTACCTAATTTATATATAATTATATGTACAGACGATACTAAACTCAATTTACCCGCCTAAACTGTCCGTAGCGTGGCATTGGATGGCGGAAAGTAGTTCGGCTGCCCGATGACGTTTTACGTAATTACAAGAGTTTTTTAACGTTGTTTATGGATACCGCCACAATTTTTTTGCCGTCTTAAGACGGGTTCCTATAATTACGATTTCTAAATCGTAATTATAGGAACCCGTCTTATAGGGGGATCTACTGTAGTTCGGATAAGGCTGCACTAGCAACATTCATATCTTCGATTTTAGAAACAGCCATTTAGTTATAAATGAATCGGTCGAAAAGTCTAACGATGACGTCATTCTCGTTTAACTCGTTCGACTTTACGAACGTACAGTCGAACGAGCAGCTTCGGCCATCCTGCTTTGGCAGCAGGATGGCCGAAGCGGTAAAGTCGTACTTTGGAAGACTTTGTCTCTCCCGTCATCATGTGGACCTGGCCGAACCCATGATAGGTATGGAAAAAAAAAGCCTCTTAATGCTCACGGAGCGGAAAGACTGATTAAATAAATAAATAAATAATTTAAATTTATAAGCTTTCCGATCCGTTTCCATTAGATCAGCGGTTTAGATTTAGACCTTTTCTACAATATGCCTTCCCGATCGGGGCCTGCGTGCAATGTTGCCTCCCCAACAGACGAATAAATGTTTATTGCTCTGTATTTAGTATTTATTTGTTTTTATTACAAATTAAATAATATCGGTAAAGTTTGACTGAAAATATGAAGCACAAATACAATTGCACTACCTACCTACAGCACTTTGCACAAATAAAATGGATAGTAGTCTTATCTGTACATAGTGTACTGTACAACCAGGAATTTATTCCTTCTGAATAGTTATAATAATGTAAATTATAAAAATGTTTTCTTGATATAACTTATGTCATATTGCTGCACTTTTCTTTTCTTTATCCGTTACTATTATTGAGTTCACTTTGATCTGCAGATTATGCACTTCGCATAGTCTCTCTTCCATTAGCGGTTCATTCTAAATATCAAGACGATTGGTTTAGTTTAGTTAATAGATATTAAGTAAAATATATGGTGACAGTCCCAAAGAACGTTATTTATGCGATGAAGAAAACAAATTAAGAGAGTGATGGAAAAACATCATGTGATTGTGTAGGGCTATCACATTGTGTTTCTCCGTTTTCATCCACATACACTTACTCCTCAGTCATACACTGAATAGTACTGAATAGTACATAAATAGTCCAACTGGTGAGGCTGGTGAGGCGCGCCTCACCAGTTGGAAATCACTGCATTAGATTATGGTTGTTTTCTGCTATTGTCTTTAAAAGTAAGCCGTTAAAAAAAGCCGTTAGTCCTTAAAAGTAAACTTTATGTTGTATTAAAGAGTAACCATCTTGAGGTCAAAAGATTCACTGCTTCCTTACCTACCCACAATCAAGAGATGCCATACCACTCTTGGTGATTTGTATTACAGATTAACATCCAGACGGGAAGAAATTGCAAAGTTTTTGCAGTTTCTGTTTCATTAGTTGTTTTAAGGAAATGAAAAGTTCTCATACTAAAGAATAATTCCAAACAATTTTTAAAATATGTCTACATCCTGTAAACCAATTCTAATTAATATATGACAAATAATAGTCCAATAATCTACTCCTAATATAATGCAAATACAACATTTTTGGTAGACAATTACTACAAATTTTTTTCGCATGTAGATAAGGTATTTATCCAATTCGTTGTATATACAGTTAATTTTTCAATACGTCCATTTTCTCCACTACCTTAATCTTTAAAAAATAAAAACACTTAGTAACTTAATAGAAAATTTGTGCAATCACTTATAACTTTTTTGGAAAATCTTTATGCTTACTCAAAGTTTTTTAACTAGCCAACCTGTGATATATGAAATACATCGCACTGATTCCAATTCATTATTTATTATATTCGATTTGTTTTTTTTCTCAATAGTATTTGGCAATTCTGGTAGTTTTTTTTTTATTCATTCAAGTTTATATCTGACAAATTTAGCCCGCTCCCTGGTATCAATTAGATGAATTACAACGCGTTGCCATTTGTACGGTCACGTGTTTTGTTAAACACGTGTTTTGAACTCATGAAAACAATCTCGACAATTTTTACTAGATTTTTAAGAATGTGCACTAATGTTAGTTCTGTGTCTAATGTTGAATTAGAAAATTTGTCTAAAGAGGTATATTCGACAAATAAATTTTGCTACTTATTTACAATATTATTTATTATTAGGAACGTAAAAAAATAATTCATATTTACATTTAGGATTTAATATATAGAATACGTCAGTTAGAAACGCAAGTTACAATACTGAAGAATACTATAGCTAAGCGGTCGGGAGAAAAAGAAAAAAAGCAAAAACCATTTGATTTTACTAGGTAATAATTACTTTTTAATTAAATCTAGCCTTTCTGATAAATTTAATATGAAGTTAAATTAGCATTTACTTCAAAATATTTATAAATAAACAATAATTTGGTTTGTATATTTCATATGCCTTATATTTCAACATGTAATTGACACTTTTCCAGCATTTTAGAAATAAGTTGTTTACAAATTTCAGTAAATTATTACTTTTACTGATTGGTAAATTGATAGTTATCTTAATATTGTTAAAATGCATAGTAATTAAATATCATTAAAACTTCAGAAGACTAAAACTGGATGATTAAAGTAGAATAAACAGCAATGTTTAATCCAGCTGTTAATTAAATCATAAACATTTTTAGCTGCATTTACTAGTATTTTTCCCATTCAAAGTATAGAATAAAAAACAAAATGATTACATTACATAATGTTATGTGTAATTAAATGAAGGAATAGGAATTATTTACACACTTATATCCTTCATTTAAGGATATGTGTTTCACAGGTTGAAATGATGTTTTATTATAGCTTAGAATTTTAGGTATTGATATATAGCTAAATGATGAGATAATTTTGGTATTTGAAAAGTTATAAAGTGGAATCCACTTATTGTAATCAATTTAGGACTACTCAAAATTGATAACATTAAACAACATAATTAATTAAGTCTACAATTAGTAAAACTTCTGATTTTGTTGACTCTAACATTATAACTATAGTACTTGCTAAAGCAATTAAAAAATGTAAAACTTGATATATTAATCATAATTATTATGTTGCAAATGTCAAATTCAGCTAATATTGCTGTCAAGTGTTATGCTGGATGAGGTCAAGGCATAGCTACCCAAATAACGTTGTTGGTATATATGTCCATGTCTAGAAACTTCCTAATAATGTAACATGTTCAGTATTGCAGTTTTCTGTATATGTTTTTATTAAGGTTTAATTTTCTAGACTTTTGTTTAGTGTACTGTATATGGTATGATACCAGTGGAAGAGAGGAAGAGGACACTAGGCACAATAAATACCATATTCATTTTTCACAATTGCCTTATATCTTGGGCAAGTGGAATGTACTTGTTGATTTTTTTTTCAGTGTAATGAGCCATTTTCATGTAATGAGTGTTTGAATGGAGTTTGTTTGTTTGTTTGTTTTTGTTTAGTTATGGCAATGCAACACTCGGGCAATCTGCCTAGGAGAGATGCCTTCTCCCCTAGGCAGGTCTTTGGGAGATCTTTTTTAAGGAAAACTGGCCCTATTTAGGCATTACAGATGTCGAGAAAACCCGGAAAACTCCACATGGCTAGCCCGTCCGAGTGAAGCACAAACCCACAACCAAACTTCCAGTGTTCAGGGAACGAAGACTGCTTGACCGCTGGTGGGAATTTGGAATGGAGACAACTATGATATAAGCAATTTTATTGCATTTGTCAATGAAAGTGATGTCATTGTCTATTGTGATAAGTTGTTTCATCTGTAATAATGGCTTTGACATAATATATTTTCTGTATATTATTTTCTAATACTGACTGTTGAGTATATTTATGGTAGTGTATCTAGGTGCTTAATAATCTATTATTATTACTACTAAGTTATATGTTTTGGGACATGCTAATTTTCCAAACATTAAATGACTGATATACAGTACAGATCTGTGATTACAATAAATGGAGTCTGATGTATTTAAATTTTTTGGGTAGAAATATAAATGATGAAATTCACCTGTCACATTTCTTTTATAATTTTATGAATAGAGTAAATAATCATTTTGCTAAGTTTAAAAAGTATTACAAAGTTTCATGGTTCAAATATTTGTATATACTTTATTTTTAGAAAATTACAATAAAATTCATTTCATAATCAGTTATATTTTTTACATCATATTTTAGAATTTATTTCGTATAATTGAATTTTTATTTTATAAAATAATGTATGCTCAATTTCTATATTTTTCAGATATAAAAAAAGACATGTCTTGCTTAAATTTTTATATCTTGGTTGGGATTATAATGGTTTTGCAGGACAAGAAGAAGGTGTAAATACGATTGAAAGTGAACTGTTTAAAACCTTACAAACAACAAAATTAATTGAATCGATTAAAACAGCTAATTACAATAGATGTGGTAGAACTGACTCTGGTGTATCTGCATTTAGTCAGGTAACAGACAAAAATGCATTCGTAATATATTTATTTTCATTCATGATTCAAAGTATATTATTATTAAATAATTTTTATTTAGGTGATCTCTGTTGACTTAAGAAGTAATTTACTAGAAGGAGAAGGTGTATTTACACCAAGTGATTATAATCCAGTAAATAGAGCTAATTGTGCTAAAGAAGGTATATAAAGTAATTTTATAGTATTGTTTGTTAGAATGTCTCATTTAAAATTCTTCCTGAACTGAAAGAATGAATTTATCAAAATTTCATATTTCATTTTTTCATATTATATTATTGCTTATACTGGGTATGGCAGGAAAATAGATGATTATAAATAGATAGTTATTAACTTTTTAATATTTATTAGCAAATTTTCATATTCAAGATTTCAAACAACACAGTTTGCCATTTATGTTTGAAGATGACATCATTCAAATGATCTTCATTCATATACAGACACTCTTCACATCTTTGAAGTATGTCATGTATAGAGTGGTGCAATATATTCTTGGGTATATTATTAATTGTACGACAAATTCTTCCCTTAAGAATTTCAATATTTTGTGGATGATCTTCATAAACCACACCCTTTGTTCATAAAATATTGAAACCCTTAATTAAAGCAAAAATTTGTCGTGCAATTAATAACATACTTGAGAATATGTTGTGCTGTTCTGTACATGGCATACTTTTCAAGATGTGAAGAATGTCTTGCATGAATGAAGGTTTCTTGAATGATATCATTTTCAAACATAAATGGAATGCCTGGATGAAATATAGCAAATCAATCAAGATTAACAACAAATGCTTTATCCATTATTTCCAAAATATTATGTTTCAATTAATATTTGTAATAATTAATAATTCTTGAATGCCATTTATATCATGTGAATGTCAATTAATGCAGTTTTTATTAAATAATTAATTCAACTGTGGCATGTACCAAAAAATGGAAATACTGTAGTATCTTTTCTGTGCAAGCAGGACAAAAAAAAAGTGATTCATATAGTGATATGAAGCAATCTCAGCACCATTAACTTCTGAATGATTAATTCTGTCATTGATTGGACATGCTGTCAACTTTCTTTAACATAGGAAGTTGACCATCAGTGGCTAGCTCTCATACCTGCAGGTCATGGGAGCCTGCAGATATGAGGATAGCCTCTTTTGTGACAGCAAGGGCAAAGTTTACCTGTCCTGCATTTATCAGGTACTGTAAAAGAATTGCCTCTTCTGTGCCTAACAGGTGTAGGGATCACTTCTTTCCTTCCGGATCCACTTCAATTCTATCACGGTAAAACAAAGTCATGTGATGTCCTAATAATATTTCATACTATACAAGTAATATTGTTTTGAGTGATAGGCGAAATAAAACATGAAAATCGGACTGAGTGAAGATCTCATTATGGATTTGATTATAATTTATTCATATATACATGGAAATGAATAAATATTGTCATCATCTGAGAAGTATAAGCCACCAAGAATTTTCATAAGAGGTCCAAAAAGATAGAAATCAGATGGTAAGTCTGGACTATGCTCAGGATGATACATGCACCTGTTGCATGATAATGCAACTCCCCATACTGCATGTCAGACTTCAGACTAGCTAAAAAAGTATGGATGGAAAGTAATAGACCATCTTGTACATAGTCTGTACTTAGCACCCTGTGATTTTTACCTTTTTGGACTTCTTAAGAAACATCTTGGTGGTTTACACTTTTCAGATGATGATGAAGATGCAGTAATGGACTTGTTGAAATCATTAAGTGGAGAAATTTTTGCCCTCATCTCCCATTAGGAAAAAGTATTTAGAAAAGAATGGTGACTATGTAGAAAAATAGCTTTCAAATGGCTAATTTAATTCTTTAATATAATTTATTTAATCGTTATGAAAGATATTGTCATGATTGTCATTAAAATGATTTAAAAAGAAAGATAAAAATGTAGAGTATACTGATTGTAACAAATAAAGTCAAAACTTAATGAATTGGGATAAACAGAATTAAAATCATCAATTAATATGAGTCCATTACATTGTTACAAAATATTTTTTGAATTAAAAAATAATTTTGATCTTAACTGAATTTAATTTTATGGGATAATCTAAATTATACTGTAATTAAATGATATGAATATAAAACAATAATAAATATACTTTTATTTTTAATATGTTTCTTATTACAGAACTGCCATATTGCAAAATGTTAAATAAAAATTTACCAAAAAATATCAAAATAATATCATGGGCTCCTATCAACTGTGATATAAATGCAAGGTAATTTCATTTCATTTTTTCGTTTGTTTTTTTAAAGAAAATTTATGAAGCTATTTTTAATTTTTATTTTTGTGTTGTATAAATTTTAGTCAACTCCTGATGAGTTGATTAAAATTTAAAAAGTATATTTTAAATTATTTATTTGAAACAGATATGATACTTACCAATTAAGATAATATAATTAATTTAACTGTATTATTTTAGAATATTTTTTCTCTGAATATTTACAGATTCTGTTCAAAGAAAAAATTTCATAACTTTTTATGTAATAAATTAATAAAAAATTCCATCCTTTTCTTTTCAATTCTGCATACAATATTAATGCATTAAAAAGTTTTTATAAAAATTTATCATAATTATATGAAACGGTGTAATTTATTAATATTTTAATTATGTTTTAAAGAATTTATTTTTAAAGAAAAATCTGTTTTAAATTTTGCCATAAACTTGCAAAACAACATTCTAATCAATGTAAATTTAACATTGAACCAATTTTAAATCATTCAGTTAAGTGTTCTAGTTAATACCAACTTTAATCACAGATGCCTACCACTATCATCAATTCTTCATAGATTGGGTTACAATTAAATCACAATATAAACCTATTGTTTGGTGTCAGTAATATGTACACTGCACGAACATTTTCAGGCAATGTACACTGACACCTTGTTTCATTGATAGAACACAATCAGAAAAAAATAAAAATGTGAATGTTTCTTAAAAAAATGAATAAAATCCAATGTCTGTACTCTATCAATGAAACAAGATTCATCTGAAGCAGGACTCGGGAGGAGCCCAAAAACATTCATGCAATGTACTGTACTATTACTGACATCAGACAATAGGTTTACAGTGCAATTTATTTGTCATCCAGTGTGAGTATTCTTTTTTGTCTCATTGGGTGACAATGTTACCATTTGTCATATTTCAAGTGTTCTTGTACGCCTAATGCTCAATGCACATGTACCACTTTTCTGCATTTATTTTGTGGTTTTGCTGCAGTCAGATATTGCAGGAAACAATCACTAGAAACCACATTTTAGTGGTTCACAAATGGTCTGTATCAATGGCAGCAAATCACACCATAAAAATTTGGTACCAAAATAAATTTTGAAGAAGCAATATTATGGTTTTTATTACATCAAAGAAAACAGCATTGTCAAAACAAAATTTTTTTGGTTCATCTGATTATAGAATATAAAAACAAAGGCCAGTTTCATCTACCTTGTCATTGGTTGAGAAAGTATGAACTAAGAAGGTACTTTAATGGCATCAGATTTTATCCCATTTCAAAATAATGTAGATTACTAAGTGGGCAGATTATTGAACACAGTTCAAAATAAATTTGCTGATTATTTTCTAATTATTGAAGGCAAATTACAGTATAATAATTGCTAAAATGCTAAATGTTGAATTGTTGAATAAATTGTACTTACCACACTCATTTTTTTTTTTTTTCTTTCTTTTGAAATTTTCATAAAATTTGGAGCAAAGGTATTTCCAAGCATTTGCTTTTTCAATTCAGTTGCTATAAGCAGCACTTGTATAGTCCCAAAGACATTGTAAATTTTGAATTTCTGCTATAAACAACCCTATATTGAAAAGATTGCTCTCCATCTCTATTTCATGCTAAATATTGCATATGATTAAGTAACCAGTTTTTGCATTTACAAACATTTACATAACCAGACATCACATGCACCTGGTGAATGCGGTCAGTTTGTCGCACTGAGTGAGTTGCATTCATCCACCAATGGCGGTAATTTTGTGGGTGATACTGACTTAGCATTGCAACTGTCATTGAACACAACTTCAACATCTGAGTTTCTATTTTGCATTTTCATATTAATTTATTATTGTTCAGAAGCAACTATCACTTTGTGGTTGACATGTGGTTTTGTAGTGGTACATGTGAGTTGAGCCTTGAGATTTCTTACATTATGGACATTCTAATTGATTAAATGTTTTTCTATGTTTGTTTATGTGAAGAATTTGATTAAATTAAATGAAGATGCTTGTAATTATTAATAATTTTTAGTTTAATTCTGTCTTTGTTGTAAAATAGTTTTATTAATATTCAGTTTCAATTTTATAATTTGTTTTGCTTCAAATTAATTAAAATAATTTGAACTGATAAAATAGAATAAACATTTACTATAAGTAATAGTATTTGATCTAATTCTGTCTTTGTTGTAAAATAGTTTTATTAATATTCAGTTTCAATTTTATAATTTGTTTTGCTTCAAATTAATTAAAATAATTTGAACTGATAAAATAGAATAAACATTTACTATAAGTAATAGTATTTGATCTATGGGTATAACTATATGTGAACATTTGTCAAGATAATATATTTTTTTATATTAATGATATATATTTGAATTAATACAAATATAACACTTTTTCAACAACTCTCTTAAAAACAGTATTGCAGATTTTGAAAATGGTTTACACTAATTATTGGAAATTGTCAAAATAATTGTGTGAAAAGATCAGAAACTTCTTATTTCCAGTATTAATAATAAGAATATTTTCTTATTAGAATTTAATATATGTATATTAAGAAACTTCATTCTTTATGAATATTAAGAGATAACAGTTTTGAAAGAATTATGAATGTTGTGAATAAAGGCATTATTTTTCCAGTGTGCTTTAATTTTTTTTATAAAATTTTTAAAATGATAAATTAGTTTTTTAATTAATGAATATCTTATACGATTTATCAGTAAATTGGAATTGAAATTTCTGTTGCTATAAATTTATTTAGTATGTCAATATTATAAATACATTTTTTGAGTTTTTAAGATAAATAGAATATATTTTTAATGTTTTAAAAATAATTTAAATAAAATAAATACAATAATGTTAAGAATTAAATATATATTGAAATTAAGAGATATAGAGGTACACAGTTTTATTGAAAATTCTCTTAAATTAAGAGATGTGTTTCTTTTAATTTAGATTTTTTGATGAGCAAGGTGCTTATATATTTCTATTTACAGATACATGTTTTCAGTATTTAAAGATTTAACGTAAAGGAAACTTATTTCTTTAAATTAAACTTCTTTACATATAAAACTTATTAAATATAACATGCAAATTATTTACTTAATATATTCCTAAAACATCTGTATATGAAAAATTTCAGAAAGTTTGAGATTAGTTAGTAATAAGTTACAATATTTTGTTCAATAATTTTACAATTATCTGCAGCATATATATAATATATATGTTAAATCTTTTTTATGTAAACAAAAATAAATAAATTTAACGTAAAGTTTCCTTTATGTTAAATTTATTTATTTTTGTTTACAATCCAGTTTAAGGATATATATATATATATATACTTAAACTGGATTGTAAACAAAAATAAATAAATAAATAAATATTAATGATAGATATAATGAAAACAAAATATAAAATTAATAGGCATCAAATGAAAATAATAATTAATTAAAATTTTTAGTTTCAAAATATATCATAGATTCAACTAAGAAATTTTTAAAATTTGTTTTAACTGAAATATGGAAAAATATGTATATCATACTTTTTATTCTTTATCAATTGCATTTTTAAATTTTTTCCTGTATGAATGTTCAAGTGATAAATGTATTATTGTCACATAGAATCAATAATACATAAAATCATAAAGTTGTATCATAACTATTTAATAAAATACTTTTGTTGTTAAGTTCCATCGAGTTGTCGTCGACTCCTGGTGACTTCATGGACAAGTCTTCTCCATCTTGATCTTTCCCTTGTTGTCTCTCGTAGCTCATCCAGCTTCATTTCTGTGACTTTTTCTATTTCTTCTATCCATCTTATCCGTTGCCTTCCCCTCTTCCTTCTACCTTCCACTTTTCCCAGCATAATAGTCTTCTCTAGGGAAACTTCTTTACGCATCACATGTCCAAAGTAGGTCAATTTTTGTTTTAAGATTCTTGACTCTAAGGAGAAGCTTGGCTTAATTTTTTCTAAAATTGAGATATTTGTTTTCTTTTCTGTCCATGGAACTCTAAGTAATCTTCTCCATACCCATAATTCGAATGCATCTATCATTTTTCTTTCCTTTTTCCTTAGAGTCCAGCTTTCACAGCCATATAATGTTACAGGGAAAACCATTGCTTCTACAATTCTTTTCTTAGTATGAATGGAAATGTCTTTATCTTTCATTATCTTGGTGAGATTTGCCATGGCTGTTCTGCCAAGATTAATTCTCCTCCTGATTTCTCCTTCACAACTTCCATTCCTTTCTATCTTTGAGCCCAAAAGTATGTAACTTTCTACCACTTCAATTCTTTCACCATCCACAATGAAATCTTTTAACTCTTTAGTTGACATTACTTTAGTTTTCTTTACATTTAGCTTCAAACCAAATTTAGCACTTTCTTCTTTTACCCTTATGATAATTTTTTCTAAATCTGCTTTGCTTTCTGTCAAAAGGGTGGTATCATCTGCATATCTTATATTATTAATAGTTTCGCCTCCAATCTTGATACCAATGGACTCTTCATTTGTAGTAACCATTCTCATGATATATTCAGTATATAAGTTAAACAGATATGGAGACAAAATGCAGCCTTGTCGCACCCCTTTCTCAATTTTAAAGCATTCAGTTTCTCCGTATAGAGTTCTTACTTTTGCTTCTTGTTCATTGTAAAGACTCATCAATAAAGATATAAGGTGTTCAGGAATTCCCATGCTCCTGAGTACTTTCCATAACTTGGAGTGATCCACACAATCGAAGGCTTTACTATAGTCTATAAAACAAAAGAAGGCGTCCTTCTGGTACTCTTTTGCCTTTTCTAGAATCCATCTGATGTTGCTAATTTGATCGCGAGTTCCTCTTCCCTTTCTAAATCCAGCCTGTTCCAGTGGCAATTCTCTTTCTAAATATGGCTCAATTCTCTTCTGTATTATTTTTAACAGAATCTTACTTGCATGGGGAATTAGTGCGATTGTTCTATAGTTGGAACATTCTCTTGCATTGCCATTTTTTGGGATTGGTATAAAAATGGATTGCTTCCACTCCTTTGGCCAAACCTTCTTTTCCCATATTTGTTGGCATAGCTTTGTTAGTATTCTAATTCCTTCCTCTCCAGCTGCTTTGAGCAGTTCCACTGGAATTCCGTCAGTTCCTGCTGCTTTCCCAATTGAAATTTGGTTGATTGCCCATTCCACTTCTTCCTTCAAAATTGATGGTTCCAAAGTAAAATGTCTTCCTTCAATTATTTCTTCTATATTATTATCTGCTTTATAAAGCTGTTCTGTATATTCTTTCCATCTTCTCTTTATTTCACTTTCTTCCATTAGATCTTTTCCATGTGTGTTCTTTAAAATACCAAGCCTAGGGGTAAATTTTCCAACGACCTCTTTAATTGTTTTGAAGAGATCCCTTGTACGTCCTTTTGCATTATTTAATTCAACTTCTTTGCATTTATTATTAAAATATTCTTCTTTATCCTTCCTAGCCTGTCTTTGGAACTCTGCAGTTAATTTTTTAATTGTTTGACGATCTCCTATAATTTTCATTTGTCTCCGAGTGTTTGCAATTTCTAAAGATTTTTGTGACAGCCAAGGCATTTTCTTATTTTCCTTCTTCTTCTTTCCTATGCATTTATCAGCAGTATGTTTAATGGTGTTTTTTAAAGACTCCCATACTTCATCAGGTTCCTTTCCTGATGTATTAATTGTTTTGAGACCTTTTTTTATTTCTGAGATGTAAGATGGGGTGATATCTGTAGCATAACGTCCCATAACATCCCATTAATTCACTTCCTTTTTTCTTAGCTTTCAAATGGAATGATATTTTTGATATAAGGAGTTCATGATCAGTCCCACAGTCAGCACCCGGTCTGGTACATGCTGATTTGATTGCATTCCTCCATCTCTTGCTACCTATTATATAATCAATCTGATTTTTATAATTTCCATCATGTATATAGTCTTAGTTTATGTAATTGGAAATATGTATTTGCAATAAAGAGGTTATTTGAATACTAGTTAATACTAGTTAATGATATAAAGTAGAATGTTTTGTAAATGAATCATTCATCCATAATTTCTTAGGTAGAAAGATCCTGTTTATATATTTTTTATTTGTAATCTTAAATAATCATTTTAAATTTTAAATTATGTGTTTATTTATATAAATAATAATATTTTATATAGATTTGATTGCAGTTCAAGAACTTACAAATATTATTTTATTAAAGGAAATCTTGATATAAAGGTTGGTTTAATGAAAAATATAAATTTTTAAGTAAATTGTACCTTAACCATGTCAATTAATTTGTAAGAATAATTTATAAGCCTTAACTCTATTATAGGCTATGGAAGAAGCATCAAAATATTTTATTGGAGAACATGATTTTAGAAACATATGCAAAATGAATATAAAAAATTTCATTACTAATTACAAGAGAACTATTCTTGATGTTAGTATTTCTCCAATTGGATCAAGGTTAGTAATTATAATTTTATTGATTTTAAATTATTTGTAAATAATTTTAAAGATATTTTTAAGAAATTTTAGTTTATGATATTAATATGAATATTGTATAAAATATATTTTTATATTAATTCAGCTGATATTGATTAAGAAATAAACTTTTGATATCTCAAAAATAAAGAAAAATTTTTATAGAGAATTTTAGACTTATTTTTGATGCTAGAATTCATCCCTAAAATATTGGTACCAAGTTCATTGCAAAACAAAATAATTTCCGATTTTATTAATATTTTATAAAATTTAAGAAAATTATTAAGGGATAAATTTAATAAATATATACTTTTGAACATGTATTATACAGGATTTGTTAATGAATAATAAATAAATAATTGCTGTTTTATTTTTGTCAAATTCATGTATATTTATGGTTATAGATTAATAACAGAATAAACTACTTTAATTTAATAAAACATTTTATTTTTAGTTTTAATAATTTGACAATTATAAAAAATATATAACTGTTAATTAGAAAAAATAAATAATTAAAAAGTTGAGAAGCAATAGCAATGTGCATAATAAGTCAAAAGCTGTTTTATTTTGTCAATATGCCATACTATAAAGGATGTGAGGGTCAGGGAATTTGTACAAAGTCGGTCAGGGAAAGTCATGGAACTTAAAATAAAAATTTGAGTGGGAACTCTGTAAAGAGGGTCAATGAGGAACATATTGCCCAAAATGCATATCCTCCAGAATTAATAAAGCCATATATCTATCTTTGTTGTGTGTTTCTATGTGATTCATTCTCTCAAACAATCGTATGTTACTCTTAACAACAGTCTTTGATTTTTGTTGAAAGTCTGTCATTATTTTTTTAAATATCTAAACAACAAGAATTGAATGTATAAGTTATATTAATAAGAATTGAATGTGAAGTTTGTCTTGATATAGATGATTACTATTGAAATCAATTGAAGAAGAAAAAGATTTTATGAATTCAAAATTTTCACTTGTGAAAATATGAAGTCAAAGTGTTTGTTCCGAAATGTTTATAACAAGGCTAATTTAATGAGTAATTGATATGTTAAATTAATGTATTTTAATTTTTTTAGTCTGTATCTCAGAAGAATTTAAAGTACAGAGTATAATTTAAAACTTTATTATAATGTGTACTTTCAGAATTTTTATAATAATTTTATTAACCTATTAATTAATAGTTCTGAAGGAAGTTATCAAGTTTATGAATTAACTGTTAAAGGATATGCTTTCTTGTGGCATCAGATTCGTTATATGGCAGCAGTTTTATTTTTAGTTGGTCAAGGCAAAGAAGCACCACAGGTAATTTCATTCATTTAATGATGTTATATTGCATTCTTTTTATATATGTAAACTATTTAATTAAATATTTTCAGATAGTTAAAGAACTTTTGGATGTTGAAAAATATCCTAGAAAACCTCAATATGCCATGGCAATAGGTAAATAAAAAAAATTCTATTTTAAATGAATGCTAAAAAATCATTTTAATGAACTAATAATATGAAAAACTTTAAAAAACAGTTTACTTCTAGTTTTTATTTTTGGTTAAATTAAATAAAAACTTTTCCTTAATAATAAAAAATAATAAACATTCACAAAAATAAATTTATTTTTAAAGTGATAACTTGTTTAATGATTTATTTTATAAATGTATCATTAAAATCTTATTAATAATCTAAAATACAGTCGACCCCCCTATAACACGGTAGATACATTCCGTTCTTTATGAATCGATTTTGTACGAGTCCTTGCCAATCACAGCCCAGCACGTATGCACTGTACGTACTACGGCTGTTTGAAAGGTTTTCTTCCATAAAATTCGATTCCTAGACTAATTCGACTTAAAATTTCCAAAACAAGTATAATTTTTTGGGAACAATCCGTATAAACTATGCTATAAACAAAAAATTGTAGGATTACTTACTGAGTGTGCACTGTTTGACGTCACCATTGCTTAAGCTTGTTTTCGTCGTGGAACAGCGCACCAAACGGCGGCCGCGATTTCTGATAAGTTATTTTTCTGCAAAAACTTCATTGAACTTTGGAGACGTCATTAATATAAGTAATTTTTATGGCCATTGAATAAGAAATGTTTCTTTCACAAGAAATGTATAAAATTAGTGTTGTATTAGACTTACGATACCTAATTTACATACTGTACAGACTATAGTAAACTCAACTTACTCGCCTAAACTCTCCGTAGTGCTGTGGTGCTGGACGGTGGAAAGTATATATATAATTATAATAAAGTTACAATAAATTAAGTTAATACATAATTATATGTACAGTACCTGATTTATACATAATTTATATATAATACTGTACAGATGATAGTAAACTCAATTTACCCACNCGGCGGAAAGTATATATATAATTATAATAAAGTTACAATAAATTAAGTTAATACATAATTATATGTACAGTACCTGATTTATACATAATTTATATATAATACTGTACAGATGATAGTAAACTCAATTTACCCACCTAAACTCTTCATAGTGTGGCGCTGGATGGCGGAAAGTAGTTCGGCTGTCCGATGACGTTTTATCGAATTATATTCAGAGGAAGTTGCAGTGAAATGTTGAAGTTCCTGAGAAATTGAAAGTTAGTCAGAAGATGATTGCTTCGGGAGCAAACCCAATTGGCCATCAATTTTTCTATATAAGGTGGACATTACCTTCACTCTGGGCTTTTATAGTCTAATAGCCATCTTGCCTAGTCCTGCTAATAGACAACTCATCGTGGTCTCAGTTAAGAAGTTCCTAGCCCATAGAGGTAGCTTGTCTCTAAATCAAAAAATATGCAACTCCCGAGAAATAGAAGAAAAGATTCTCAACAAGTGGTATACTTATCTACATAAGCTCTCTCATTCAGCGCCATAGCCTAAGGTCTTAGCCAATAATCAGATTTGTAGCAGTTGAGGTTTATGTATATGTAGCATTTATTGTACAGTTTTATTGTATACTCAATATTCTATATATATATAAAGATTAGAGATACAATATATATATATGATTTTAGATATACAGTGTATATATATATATACTTTGTATCTTTAATCCAGAATATGTATAAATAAATATTTAGCTTATTTCGTGCGCCAACATGTCTCCTCCTCTACTCAACGATACAACATGACCCTCCGTATTTAATATCATCCACCCAAATTTGCCACTCAGATTCAGGTTAAAGATAAACCAATCATAGTAATTTGCAAGTTAGGATGCAACTGTTATTTATCCTAACTGGTGTCATGACCTGACATAGACAGAGATTTCACGATCTCACAGTCTTCTTTAAATTAAGTAAATAATAAAGCCATCTTAGACAAGTGTGCGGAGTCCTAACAACCCTGATCTCACATCTGTAAAGTTTGGTTGATTAAGAACCTATAAATGTTCCAATAATTTTCACCTTGTTCAACATTTGAATGTGATCACTTGAACAGATGCTTCACATCTAATGACAAGAAAAACATACAATCATTGTTGGTTAAAACAGCAGTGATAGAAATTCTATACTGAAGAAATGCATAAATTCATTTAACATAATGACAAAAATAAGAATTTTTTGATCACTGTGTTAAAAATACTATTTTTATTATAATTAAAAAAAATTCAAATATAGCAATTTGAGAGTTTCTTAATGTGCTATATCAATATATGTAATTTTGTGTTTTATAGACATTCCACTAGTCTTCTTTGATTGTGAATTTGGAGATGTTAACTGGCAGTATGATAAAGAAAATATAGAGAAAATAATTTTTCGTCTACAGAAATCTTGGACAGAGCATACAATTAAGTAAGTTTTTTATTGTATGCATTAAATTAAAATATAAAAGTTAATATTGTGCAATGATGTGGACTATTGATTCTTAATTTGAGTTCTGCAGTTCTATGTAGACTTATTCAGGATCTGCAAATGCCTTAAAATTTTTTGCCAATCTTACTAAAATTAAATAATAAATAAACAAATAAACATGCCTGCAATTTTAATATAGACTCACAGCTTGTAAGGAGTATGCATCTCCATTAATACCATAATGTTCAGAAATCAAAGTGTACTTAAATTAATTTAAAAGATTCCCTTGTTTTATTGTTTATTTGTATATAGGCATATGCATATTCATATTCATATTCATATACAGTGAAAACTGCTTAGCCGACCACCTGCATTTGACGGACACCTGTCAAAATGGGCAAAAATTTCTGGCACGGAATAGTTTATCCATAGAGTCTTCGTATAAGTTACCTGTATTAAATGACCACCTATGTAACGCGACCACGGGCATCGATTTTTGGTCCGAAACAACATACAACACCTGTAATAAATGGCCACTTTTGCGAATGTATCTGGTCTAAACTATTGTAAGAACCCATCTCAACAACGTTTCCACCTACTAATATAATGAATTAGTCTAAACTCTCATTCGAACCCATCCCGAGCACTTCTCTCACCCTTGAAATTAGGTACAAGGGTTAATAAATTAGTCTAGCAACAAAGGAAATTCGTTTCAATTTGTTGGAAAATGTCCAAAATGCAAAGTGCTGTCGTTAGAAGATTGTATTAAAGTTATCACAACAGCAATTAGCGGCGAAGTTTAACTGTGGGAAAACAAAATTTATTTTACCCTAGACCTACAGTATTTTCCTTGGGGGTGTAAAATATTGTACACGATACAATTAATTAATCGGCTGATCTCATCATTTGATAAAATCTATTTTTATTTATTTATTTTGAAGCTCATATACAGTACATGTGCGATAAATAGTTTCTGTATCAACCTACCTTATTTCCACGATATTTTTAGAAAAATAATATCCACGTAAGTTTCGCATGCAAAATATTCAAAAAACAATAAACGCATTAATGCAAAAATCAGTTTTACTTCCTTTTTCGATTCCGCGATTGTAATGAAATCGTATGATGAGAAAAAATAATAATATTGTTTTATTATTAATTAATAATTTTTCTTATTGTACTTAATTAATTAAGAAAATATTAAATATTAAAAAAATACAGTATTTTTAAAGTTAAAATAAGATTAAACTAACAAAAAGCAAAGTGATAGAAAGATAGGACGCGGTTTTATATTGATGACATAATACACGTAACTGAGAAGCGAATGAAAAGAACCAAGTCGAATTAATTAAATCGGAAAAAAGAAAGTGTGCATTATAATCAAGAAAATGTGAGTATTGTATTAATCTTTAAAATATTGGTATTAAATCTGTCTTATAATATCATGACGACTCCTGTAAATCGGGTATCCGATAAGAATAAAATACAATACCAATATAGCCCTATTGTTGAAAAAATTTGCTTATTTTTGCTCGCCTTGAGTTTTGCTTAGTAGAAATGGCTAAAAAGTGCGCAAAATATGTATGGAAATACAGTATTACAGCACCACCTGTATTGGACGACCACCTGTCTAAAAGACCACTTTTTGAAGGAACCGTGGGTGGTCGCCATAGGACAGGTTTTACTGTATTTGATTGTTCATACAGTTGACAGTTGTGAAAGAGACGGCCTTATCAATACATATAGCCCGAAGAAGAAGGGGGAGGAGGAGGAGAGGAATGGGGGAAGAGATTGTTCATACAGGAGGTCATTCACATTTGGAAAACAGATTGCTTGCTAAATCTTAAACATAATGAGCAATTATTTATTGTGACATCATCACAATGCCAGGCTGAAATTTTAAATCATATTTTTTAAATTTATTTAATTTAAAAATATATTCACTCCACCTCAAATTAATAGTGTCTTGCCCCTGTACGTCATACTTTTCTTGTTAGCAACAGAGTCATGCCATCATCTTAACACCTTACAGGGGAAAATTTTTTAATTGAAATAACGTGACTTCCAGTTTGCATCAGATACAGTTAATCAGGCCTCCTGCCTTTAAGCTTTCCATATTTGGTCTTGGATTTCATATATCTAATTCTGTTCTCAAGATTAAGGAAAGACAGATGGATGACAGTGGGAATTTATAGGTTTACAATTTTTTCAAATTGCAGCCCAAAAATACAGAAAATATTGATGAAGATTCAATGATGTGACAGGCATTAACAGTGCCCCCAGGTTAGGATCTGACTCATCTGCGGATTATGGCCCACAGGAACTATTTGTGCAGCATAACCCAAGTCTGCCTACTGCAAATGGATGTGTATGCAGACTCAAGATAAGAACACAGAGAAAGAAATTGAGTGTCTCTCAATTTCCTCAGTAGCCCAGAAATGATTCACTCTGATACTAATCTAACATTAAAACAGCAAAGATTTATTTAAACTTCAACTATTGACAAATACAACCATAAACTATTAAAGAACAATTAAACCTATCCCAATGCACCTAATTCCAAAAGAGAGAGGTTACAATCAAATCACACATGGATAATTTTCTTCAATCAAATTTCATGAGAGAGGGCATCTGAAATGGTAAGTTCCTTTTTTTCATGCAAGAGAGTCTTTGTAACACGCTGTAGATTGATTTTCCTTGGCAGGGGATGTGACATTTCTGGAACAATTTGGGGAGCTGAAGTGGCAGGGATTTCTTGCACAGGGCAGTGGTAGAACAGATTCAGCAAATAAACAATAACCAGACTCAAATTATCTGACCTTCTCTCACCTTCCTTTTTTTTTCGGTCCCTTTTTCCCACACATCTGGGTTTGTCCAAATTTGATAAAATTGGGTAGGGAGCAATATTATTATCCAATCCAATATTTTTTTGCCAAACTTCTCTGGGTGAGTGAGTATTCATTCCAGGAAGATGTGTCAGTTGGAAAGAAAGTGTTAAGTGTTATCAGAGTTAAATCTTATGAACTTTCCTGTTTAAATTTGCAATCTCTGGCTTAGTTTAACTGTACCAAAAACTTCAGAATAGGGGGCATTAAAGAGAATTAAAAGAAATATTTTAATTCTCTTTAACGCCTCCTAGTCTGAAGTTTTTGATTTAGTTAACTGTTGGCGTGACATCCAAGCCAAGTATTTAATACATCTAACAAGATTAGTTTAACTTTTTTACAAATATTGAAATGACAGCTCTGTACTCTCACAATGACCGTAACAGAAAGTAATGCTGTTGGTAAATAAAAGATGACATTTCATGAATACAATAATAGCCATTTTTCAATAGAATTTACATGTATTAGTTTAGAACATAAAACAAATACAGTATACAGTATATTATATAACAAAATGACAAAATTTTGTAACAACATACTCACAAAATAAAACCATGAAACCATTGAAATTATAAAAACGTATTAAAGCCAGATGATCTGCCTAATTATAGCCTGATAATTTGACAGATCATCTGGCTTTAATCAAAAATTGGATTTATGAAGTTATTTACATATAAAAATATTTTAAACGTTGATGTTTTATTTCAGCTTGTCATTTAAACCATAATTCCAATTTTGCATCTTTTTTCAAAATTGCTAGGGGATCTTTCACATGTATCGTAATGGAGATCAGAAAAAGATAAAAGATTAAAAAGCACTGATAAAGACAATTATAAAAAGATAAATTATAAAACTAACAGTTTAGAAAAGAATGAATAAAATTTTATTTCAATCAATTTTGCCTAGTTGATAAATGTGATTGATTTATTACTTAAATATATTTTATAATATTTATTATAACATTATCACAAATCTCTGTGAAAGCATTTATTTATATATATAATAAATAATTTTTTCAGGAGTACTATTGTTAAAAGAATGATAGAATCATTAGAAAGTAAATTAAATATGCATGTTGAATTTAATACTGGATCTTTAATATCAGGAACATCATCAAAAACTTATACACCATTATTGAAAAGAAATTTTGAAGGTAAATATATTTACTATGTTCTATTTTCCATAAAAATGTTTATATCTGTCAAAAATTAGTTGTGTATTCATTCAGTTCATTGTACCGTACATAAATTAATGAGTATTAATAATGTTTTTGTAATATTAATTAAATAATTATATTTAACTATTTGCAACAAATTAAATATTTATTATCTAAAATAGAAATGTTTAGGATTTAGAAATTGAAATTTTTTAAACTGTTTTGAGTTTATCATATGTTACAAAATTTTTTAAAATTTTTTTTATTAAAAATGTAAAATAAATAATTAAAATATGATTTTAAAAACTTTATTAATAAATACTATATTTTTTAAAAATATTCTTTAAAAAATATTTAATCTATTGCAAATTTAAAATACTAAAAATATTGATTATTGAACACAAGACTGTGTTATTAATTAAACACTTGGCATTTTTCCTCTTTATTCAGTTGATACGGGTACTTTTACACGTTTCGGGCGCTTGGCCCCTCATCAGTCAACATTAAACATGCAATGTATGCAATGACACTTATACAGCACAAGTTTCATTCTCCTTACTGGGAGGATAACAAGAACTTATGCTGTATAAGTGTCATTGCATACATTGCATGTTTAATGTTGACTGATGAGGGGCCAAGCGCCCGAAACATGTAAAAGTACTCGTATCAACTGAATAAAGAGGAAAAACGCCAAGTGTTTAATTAATAACACAGTCTTGTGTTGAATAGTCAATAAATATGGAAACACGGTTTCAGAAAACAAAACAAATACTAAAAATAAAATTTATAACTTTATATTAATATACACATCTCATGACCTGCTTTAGGCATTATACATTTTCTATGACTTTATTAACATAAAAAATTTCTTGAATATATATACAGTTGCATCTCCATAGTTGAAAATATAAATAATTCATTACAGAAAATTTGTTAAAAGATGACCTCAGAGCAAGAATGATCCTTGTCAGTAAATTCTAATTATGAGATAATTAACAAAAACTGTTACACAATATTTCCCATGTTTTTTTTTGTTTTTTTTTTTTGCCTATGATGTAACAACAAATTTGACTTGGATCTGTATTGCATTAGATAAAGTAGTTGTTTTTAAGCGTCACATGCTAAGACTATAACACCAAAAATTGAATTTGGATCACTTTTGCTCTGAGATCACAAAATAGAAAAGTCACTGATAGTAAAAAAACAAACTTTTATACTAAATTGTAATGATATTTTTATTTTCCATGAAAGTTTCCTTGTATGATTTACAGCGATGTTTAGATTAATGAATTTATTGCAATGAACTTGCTTTACACTACAGAATATATGCTTGTATTGTCAGGGCCGTGCTGTGCTATGATGGAGAGATGTGACCACATCAGGCAGCACCGTAATGGGGTGGCATAAGCAGCATTTCGAAGACTTGCATCATACTGAGAAAATCTACCGCACGGCCCTGTGTATTGTACAATACACTGTTTAATCTATATATATAAAAATGAATGTATATGTGTCTGTCCTTCATGCATTACCACACCATTTATCCGATTGCCGTGAAACTTTGGGAAGTTGTTTAATATACTCCTTTGAAGGTTTCTGGCATAGTACGATTGCCATGAAACTTTGCAAACTTTTTTAATACACTCCCGCGAAGGTTTCTGGCATAGTACATTTATCCTACGATAGATGGCACGCATTATACGAGCATTTTACTATGTGTTCGATTGATTTCAAATTGTGAAGACCATTTCCCACCTCCAAAAAATATCTCTATATATGCATTGTGAACTGTTATTTACGATATTTGTAATAATTTTTGTTTAATCACTTTATTTCAATTTTTTTTTTTTTTTTGCTAATTATGTATTTGCTCGAACTTTGTTAAAACCTTAACTGTATCCCGAACAACAGCCAAAGTTGTAGGAGAAAATTTGCCTATTTTATCGATCTAGGGATCCCCTTTTCCAAATTTTAATATCGACTCAAAATAATTTAAAAAGACAAATTACAATAAAACGGTTTATTATCCAACTATCAGAAATTTCACAGCATGCCAAGGAAGAGAGGAAGGAGCAATTAAATAATTAAAATTATAAAGGATTAAAAATATATATATATAAATGGGGAATATCACACTTCTGACAATCGCTG